TAATGAATGACATATTTTTGTGCTCTAACAGTTTTTGATTCTAGTAAATAATCCTGATACTGAAAATGCCACAGCTAGAAAAGTGGCCGAATTTTTCATTTTTGGTGTTTTTAACATTACCTTCTGACGGTCATTATGGCTCTTTTTCTGTAAGCTGTAATCAAAAGCTTATTCTTGTGCATTTGATTCAAATTCTTGATTGAGTATGTAAATCATCTTAACAGCATCATTTCGTTGGAAAACATTAAGTCTGTTTTATGATTTTTACTCTCTAAAAAATTAGTCAAAACCTTGTTATACTATGAGCAGTCATAAACAGTGCTGTATTAGTTGTAAAATCATCTAAATCTGCTTTAGTTTTCATTTAGTGGCTGGGAAAACAATGATAAGTTAAAACCCATAATCTTCAAATTGAGTTCTCTACAACTGTTGCTACTTTTGCTTAATTTTGCAATTTCAGCAATTCCATCAAGTCCAAAGAAGTAATTGCTTCATATTACCTAGAATTGTCCTTTTGTTTAATTGAAAACATACTGATATTATGCTTTATTATGATTCAAATCCTCTTTTAAATTACTGTATTTCATGACTTACAATGGTTTTATTTATAACTTGTGGAATTATTAGTTGTATAAGATTTTTTACACTTACTGATTATCTTGCATTTAATAAGAAATAAGATAGTTTGTTCTCTCTAAATGCAAGCTCATTGTTTTTCTTTTTCTACAATGTACTGAACTTGAATTCTCTTTGATGTATTTCTAGACCATGGCGAAGTCTTTTGAGGTCACTGAGTTACCAGGTACATTTATCTGCTTTACTTTTAGTATCTTTGCCCAATCAGGTTGCGCAAGATATTTCATCTTTCTTCTTGCTGAAGTTATTCCTTATAAGCCAAATCTTGCAACTGCAGTCAGGTCAGCCAAGTTTGTTGCGCGAAAACAATGGGTTGTAGCTGGAGCTGACGATATGTTCATTCGCGTATATAATTACAATACAATGGATAAAATTAAAGTATTTGAGGCACACACTGATTATATTAGGTGTGTGGCTGTCCATCCGACCCTTCCATATGTGCTATCATCATCTGATGATATGCTCATAAAGCTTTGGGATTGGGAGAAGGGTTGGGTGTGTACTCAGATCTTTGAGGGACATTCCCATTACGTGATGCAAGTGACTTTTAATCCAAAAGACACGAACACTTTTGCAAGTGCATCTCTTGATCGTACAATAAAGGTTTGAACACATTTTTTATTTGGAATTGTCAATCAAGCCTTCTTGATTTAACAAGATAACGATGCTAAGTATGTTTTCTTCTCTCTGTTTTTTTTCCATATGTAGATTTGGAATCTTGGCTCCCCAGATCCAAATTTTACATTGGATGCCCATCAGAAAGGAGTGAATTGTGTAGATTACTTCACAGGTGGTGATAAGCCTTATCTAATCACAGGTTCAGATGATCACACTGCAAAGGTCAGAATCCATGTTCTGTTGGAGTTAGCTATGTTTTGGTTGCATGTATAGGTTCGCTCTAAATTATTTGTTGATAACATTATGAATGCAGGTCTGGGACTATCAAACTAAAAGTTGTGTCCAAACACTGGAAGGCCACACACATAATGTTTCCGCAGTTTGTTTCCATCCTGAGCTTCCAATTATAATTACAGGTTCTGAGGATGGTACTGTTCGCATTTGGCATGCTACCACATATAGGTAATTCTGAAATGTCAAAGTTTCATAGTTCCATTGTTTTTTATTTTCTGTAGGAGCAGTATCTCTAATATTATGTGAAATTTAGTATTTCAGTCTTCTACTTTTACTTTTGAAAAAAAAATTCCTTGTGTTCTTGTAAATTTAAATTTTGTAAAATTGGTGATTATAATACAAAATGTTCATTACCTTTTTTAAGACATTCTTAAAAAGAAGTTCTGAGTGTCGCAACATAGTTTTAAATAACTTATTCCCCAAAGTATGTTTGATGTTATCCTTCTTTCTTTCTGCCTTGTTTTCTGTTGAAATGTTCTTAACATGTTATTCAATTTAATTTGAGTTTTAGGTTCTTTCACTTATATTACAGTTGTATTAAGGACATATAAGATAAAAGTGATAAACAACTGAGTAGTTCACAAAATAGTGAAATCTACCATCTGTCATTGAGCATTTTCAGTATCTAGTTTATTTAAACGTGATGCCAAAGTAGTTTTTGCTTGAGCAATCTGAAGTAAATTCAATCTTGGTGGACATGTTAAAAGTGTAGCATCCTTTGAGTTCCTTTAAATGTCTAGGCATAGATAGAAATATGCAAATCCTTATCATTATTATCTAAAATTTTACACAATTCCATTGATTCACAGGCTTGAAAATACATTGAATTATGGTCTTGAGAGAGTTTGGGCCATCGGTTACATGAAAGGTTCACGTCGGTAAGTGTGGTTTATTTTCTCCCCTCCTTTTCATGGTTCAAAATATGGGGCAATTGTTGTCCTTAGATATATTATATTAGTTTCACAATTCAATTATTTCTTAAATATTTTTTTTGAAATAAAATTATTTCTTAAGTATTTTATTGTTTGCACAAGAAAGTTTTACTATTATTCCTTCTTCTCATTGATTTGTTTGTAAAAGAAGTTATCCTTGAAAAGGTTGCTAAGTTTATCTAACATGTTCTAGTTTTATAACTAAATTTTTGATGTAGAACAAATTAGAGTTAATTTGTCTACTTAGGGATTGGGGATAAATTTAGGAAAGCTTAAAATATCAAATTTAAGAATGAGGATGGAGTAGCTGAAAATTAACTAGGAGTCTCACCTAGAATCACATGAGCATCATCCCTTAGGTGATGATTCCTTAAGCATCATTGCTAGGAGTTGATTGCATCAAAACAAAAGCATTTAGAAAACTTGGTAAAGAACGAAGTCACAGACAGATGTGGAAGGTGAATGCTCCTCCCAGAATTTTTTGTTTTGTTCTTTTTTTTTTTTTTGCGTGGGAGGCGAGGTGAGGTTATGTCTTGACTATTGACAAATTAATGAGAAGAGGAAAGATTATGGTGAATGACTGCTATCTTTATAAGAGGGAAGCTAAATCTTGTAATTATATCCTACTTTGGTGCCTTATCGCATATAAGTTATGGGATGTAGTTTATGGATTGTTGGAGATTAGCTGGGCAGTAGCTAGTTCGGCTAGAGACAAGATTTGGCCTAGAAATATAGTAGTTAGGGGAGAAAATATGTGGATCTCATTCCTCTTACTATTTTATGGGTGGTGTGCAAGGAGAGAAACAAGAGGATTTTTCAGGGGAGTGGAAGAGGAGTTTGGTTGAGTTAGGAACAGATGGCTCCAGTATTCGGGCTTTTCGGTTATGGGGCATCTTATTCATTCTATAGAGGATTTTGGGGATTTTGTTGAAATACTTACTAATTTGTAAAATTTTTTGTATGTGGGTAGCACCCCCTTTGATACTTGTGAATTAATGACCATACTATACTTTTTATTTCTTAAAAAAAACCATTTATAGAACTTTCATATAATTTATTTAGTCAATGCTTGATCTGAAAAGTGAGATAAAAAAGGTACTAATAATGCTTAAATATAAAATCCTAATCTAACTAATATTTGGAGAAGGCTAAAAGAAAACTAATAGAATTTAAACTGTAAATAGAAATGCTAAGCTAGTAAGGTCCTAATCTTACCCATGCCATCAAAATAAAATTTCAGATTCAATAGAATGTAATTCCTATTCATTATCTGTCGTTCTCCACTTGGTTTTGTCATGTAAATATTTTTGCATATGGGTTGACACCCCTTTAGTGCTTGTATTAATGATATGTACCATACTTATTTAAAAAAATTGAGTTTTCGAAGTGTCAAATTTTACAATCAGGGAGATGTTCAAAAAATTCTGGTAAACTTTGTTCTTGGTCATTCTTGCTAGAAGTAAAAACAACAAAGACACAAAGTGGATAGGAGTATGAACATCAACAGAGTCAACCTGTACCTTGGCTTCCTTCTTTCATTGAACCTTATGTAGATGAAAGTTTATTGTCTTTTTTTTTTTTAAAATGAAAGTACAGATGAAAATTTATTGTCATTAGCATCTCATGGAATTCTTTTTCTTGTTCCTCTATATTAGATTGATCAAAACTTGATATTTATTATTCCAACTTTTAAAGTGGTTTTTCCCCCTCTTTCTTCTTTTTATTAACAACTAGCTAATCTTGATGTCAGTATTTATGCATTTGTCTAGTCATGGGCTTCAAAACTATATTTTTCATACCAAGCATGAGATGAGAAGTATTAGTAGTCTCCTCATGCTGAACATGTCGATCATGAAGTCAAGGTCAACATAGAAAAATATATCCTAGGAACTGCATCTATAAGATTGATTCACTATAGGCACCAAGGCAATTAGAAATAAAACTTTCTTGAGTTATTAAAATACTAGTAGTCTCCATCCACGCTAGTCTGTTTGGTCGAGAATATGGTTGTGTTGGAAAATTGAGCTGTTGTTGCATTGGAAGATCAAGCCATTCAATTGGAGAGATCAGAACAAGGTTGACACACTAATCCATATTGTGAATGACAAGTTTCTTTTATTTCCTCAATAAGCTGGGTTAAAGTTGGAGAATGCTTCTAGTTTTCTTTCACTTTTAACTATATGGTTGTGCTTAACTGTAGACAAGAAAGAAGTATCAGATATATCCTTTGACGAAGATTGCTCACTCTCTTCCCCAATACTCTATGTATGTAAAATTGTTGCAGAAGAGGATATTGAGGTGCAACTCTGGTAAAATAAACTGCAAACATGGAAAGAGCATGCGAAAAAATACTTGGAAACCGCCTTTAACCAGTGAAAACTGGTTTGGAGGAGGCAGAGCCGGTTTAGTCAAACCTAATTTGGTCAAATTAGGATGAACTGGTTGAAACAAAGCATGATTTTGGATAGTTCAGTTTCAGATCACACGCACATGGGGTCCATGCTTGGGTCTCCATCCATAGGAGGATTTTAGGGTTCTAGTGGTTGACTTAGATTGAAGTGGTGGTTATAGATCAATTATTGGTGTGAGGTGTTGTGGCTGGGAATAGGGATATGATGGAGCAGCACTGGTTTGGGTCTCAGAGGGCAAGGGTCGGATGCTTTGGCATTTCTTGTGATGAGGCTTTAAGTATGGGTTGGTTGGAGGTCTCTAGTGTCAATGAGGAGGATTTTACTGTGTTTTCTGTTTTTTTTTTCTCTTCCACGACACTGGGACTGTTTGGATCTAGGGGTATCAGTGCTATGGGATATGTAAGATTTTGTGTGACAGGAACTTTGGAGCTGATATACTAAATGATGTAGGACCAATTACGGTTACTTTATCTATTTAGGCATTTTGGGATAATTTCAGGATTCCTAGATATCACACCTAATATTGGGTTGGAAATAGCATAAAATTTAACTTTTCTCACCTATGATCCCTTAGCATCTCGCTCTAAGGGGAGATTTCTTAACATCACAGCTAAGAGTTGATTGCACTCATAATCAAAATGAATGTATTAAGAAACTCTCACG